ATTGAATTATAAAGTATATACATACAGGTAGCTTTTGATGATTCAACAGGAAACCATACATTGATTTATGAAAAACTATGGCCTCCACCTATTTTTAATTCAAATAAAAATGAAAAATACACACTATCAAAGAATTTCAAAATTCCCCTATGTGACAAGGTAACATAAGGATTTTCAGGTGATCAGATCACAAGACAGGTTTATTTTGTTTGTGTATTTTAAGGCAAAGCAGAATTTCCCAAGTGAAGTACCTACAAAATAAATTTGATCTGGAAAACAAATTTCAGTAATAAAATAATACTCTCACTTATTAAATATATATATATATATGTATATATATATATATATATTTGCCTTTACATATGATTTAGCAACTTGCATCAAAAAATTCAAGAGTTCTATGAACATTTGCAAACAAAATAAAATCTTTTAAAACACTAGTATACAAATAAGTCAGCTGGTATTCATTCAGGTGTTCAAATGTCCATAGTTGAAAAGGGGAAAAAAATAACTACTCAGAAAATTTTTCTCTAACATTTCATTAAGATGCAAAATATTGTTGAGAATTAAGTAAATTTTTTGGACAGCACATATCAGGGAAACACATGTGTTCTCCTTCTGGAAATCTTAGTTAAACAGAACCCAATAATAGTACTGTTTCCTTAAGCCATTGAATCAACAGCCTAAGATTTATAATGTTTACTATAATCTCTCTTTTAATGTAAATTCTTTTCTTAAACAACAAATTACCGTACAGAAAGCAATTTTCTACTATGAAGAATAAAATCACTTCAGGGAAAGTGAAGTAATTAATGAATAGTGTTTAAACTCATTTACTATACCCCAAATTGCCACCTGAACACTTGGCTTCAATGAAGATAAAAATGAATTAAAATGCCTGCATGATATCCAAAGCAGGGAGGGTCATCACTTCTAACTGAGGAAGACCTTCCAGCAATTCAAAATAATATAATGCCTTTAAAACTGAAATGAATATCAGTTCTGTTACACTGAGACCAAATTATTTCCTAAGTGGTACCAAACAGACTACCAATAATTAATACCAATTTACTAGAAAATCTTAAGTAGCAATAAAACAAAAGCTCCCACAGGGTATGCCAGCATCCCTTATATTCATCATTTAAGTTATAGGTTTCTAAGAACTACTGGATTAACATACAAGGCATATTGTATATTAATATGAAGTTTTACTTAATGAAGCTTGCTATTAAAGTATCTTGCGTTTTCCTATTAAATATCCAACCTGTAGGCAGCTGTATGAATTCTTTATTGGTTAACTACAGTGAGGTGGCTGCTTTGATTTTTTCATGCAAACTTACGTCACGGTATTGATGTGTGACATATCTGTAAACTGGACACAACGGGGGTTGGACTTTTCCTCCAAAACCAGATCCACATATCCCTTTGGATGGATCAGGCCAAGAACTGCTTGGTCCTCTCAATCCACTAAATAGTCCTTGCACCATTTCTTTCTGTAGTTATGACATTATAAACAGACTGGAATGGACATTAGCACCATCACGGTCAGAGAGCTACCACTCAACACCAAAGATAATCTTCTTCATGATAACTTCTGATGTGTCCTTTTCATTACATTTCAAGTTCAACATTCTGAAGTAACTAAATCTAACAGATGTATAAAAGACAAAAGTACCATAATAAAAAGCAACCTGATAAATAAAGATAAAAATATGTAAATAATTGGTCTAGGGGAGGGAAAACCATCTGGAAAAAATCCTGTACTCCTGAAAGAACAGTACAAAGCCTTGTCTATTTAATATTTTGTAAGCTGTTTGTTAGCCATGTATCTAATCAAGAAATGTCTAAAGAGATTAAAAATGTCAATTATATGTATATGCATTTCACTTATTAAATATGTATGCATTTCACACATTAAAAATGTTAATAGTAGGCAGCAAACACATAAAATATATATAACTTTAAATAAACTATCTGCCAAATTAGTCAGTAAGTGGGTAACTAGTGTCTAAAAATCTTTAAAGTAGTAATACTGATCTTGTTGAGTCCATGCTAAAATATTGATAATATAAAGGAATTGAAAGATCAGGGGATTGATGTTTTCAGAATAATGTTAACCTTAGAAAATATTATTTTAAACAGAAAACTACTATCATCTTAAAGGTGAGAGTTACTTCCTCTACAACTCAAACAGTTTGTGCTGTTGCATCTGAAGAAAAAGCAAGCAATATCTTTAAAGTCTGATTAAAACAGTAATCTTAAAAATTAAATTCTCTTAGTTTAGTATATAAGGAGCTCGGGGGTAAGGGAGGGGGGAGGAATAGTGTTCAAATGTGCCACTGTCTTTGATCATCTGCAGAACAAACATGATGAAATGAAAGTTTATGGGCACTTACATGGAAAAAACAAACCCCACAGACATATACTTGAACCACAATTGACAATGCAACTGTAGTGACTGGGCAATCATAGTACTCGACAAGTAAACGGCAGAACACCAGGCAGCACAGTGTTAGGAGTCCTTTAAATGGAACTGCAGCATGTGTAAATGAGTGCTTCCTGACACTCAGCATCACTCCAACGCGTGCCCCTAGCCATGTTGAAAGTGCTCAGTAGCCATATGTGGCAAGTGGCTACCACACTGGACAGAGAAGGACTGAAGGAGAAACAATACTGTCTAGAGATTAGGAAAGACGAGATAATTTCCCAAGATCCGTTCCAAGTGCTATGAATCACAAAATCTTACAGCATCAAAATGATCACTGGAGTCTTCAGTTCATTTTAACTAAACGTATTTGAATTTATGATTTATTAATATAGAGAGAATAACTAGGAACACATAAAAATATGAAAAAAAGCCAATGAAGAATTAATGAGTAAGTCCAGAAAATTTTCCAGTTGGTCACAAAGACCTTTTTTAAATTATTACTTTTAATGTCCAAAGAAAGAAAAACATCTATTTGAAAACATCAAGACACTCACTTTCAATGAATGAGAATTGGAATCATAGAGTATTAATAGCAAGGCTATCAGTGCCTATCACAAAGTAACCACCTCTATAGTAGCTTTGAAAGAGAAAACACTTTTCTTTTGAAAGCAGAGAACTTTCATCTTTAAATGCATCTTACTGAGTTGAAGCCCTGATCAAAGACTCATAGAATGTTTTAACCTCAAAGTTAAACCATTAGCTTCCAGGCTAGGTAACAGTGACCATCACATAGCTCTGTTAAATTACAACTTTGCATACACTGTGAGGTTATTTCAAGGATTTAAAATCTTTGACGTTGATTATCTGAAATTCACTGCCCTACAGCTTGGACCCACTTGCAAAAGAAACAAAGAATCAATGGACTCCCTTTTCCCATGTAACTTGGGACCTTCTTGCACCCAGGAGAAGCACAGAAACATTAAAATATATGTCCATATAAGAACTGATATAATCTTCCATTAATTGTCAAGCCGAAATCATGCCTTCCTTGTCACCCATCCTACAAAAGCATAACCTCTACTTGAGTCTTAAATTTATACAGCACTAGTCAGAACTCTGGTTCTCTATTTTAAAAAAAAAAAAGCAATTATACCAAAAACTACACAAATTGCACAAACTGTCAGACACATTGGCAGCCCAACCCTACCACATATGCCCCTCTAAACATTAGATAAAACATTGCCACTTCAGTATTCATTCTTCACAGAACACCCTGAATCACAAAATAACTCCAAAAACGCAATATGAACTGATGTCACAAGAAACTGGTGCTACCACAGTATCTTCAACATGGCAGGAAACAGATTAATATTTGTAACATTAGTGATATTACAGCAGTTGAAAATCCACTGGATAGATTATCCACATTATCAGGTAACTACAAAAAGAATAGAAAAGTAATAAAAAAAACAAAAGAGAAATAAAATAAAATTTTAAATAGGTATGAATTACTTTTATATTTGTTTGTAATGCAGTTAAAATAAAATAAAAAATAACCACTATTAGCTTAAATTGTTTTCATTTTATACCAGAAAGAAAATTTTTTGCGGACTTTTGCTCTGACTTACAGCTTCTCAAAAAACATTGTGGGTGCTTATACCTTTAATAATAATAATAATAATGATGATGATGATGATGATGATGATGATGATATCTAAGCTCCTCTAAGGAATTTATAAACTTTTTCCCAAGTTATATAAAAAATAATTATTAAACATATTTTCTACTACTAATTGTAATGAGAGTTTATTTCCTCTTTTATCTGGACCTACAGTAAAGTTATATAATTCATATTAATAGTTCATATTAGTGTGGTTCTCTGACTCGAATTGTATTAATCACCTTTCATTAGAAAACATCCACAGTATTGATCAAGAATTAATACCTTAGAGGAAATAAGACCCAATACCTGCTGGGTACAGGCTCGCAGAGCAGGGAGTAAGTACCAAGGAGCCAAATTCATAATCTGGGCTACTATCAGTGCCAAATACATGAATACATTTAAAGGTGTTTGAACTTCCAAGCTCTTCTCATCTTACACCAGGGACCACAGACTCAGTCAATATTTTTGTGTTGATACTGTAATCAGTGTATAAAAAACATGATTGTTACAACTGATATTCACATAGCCTTTCAGTTTACAAAAAGCTATGTATATGATTATGCACTAATGGAGCCCTCACTAGCACCAGCAACGTCTATGGTGCTATCCCCATTGGGGAAACTGAGTCCCAGAAAAGGTGAATGACTTGCTCCATGTCAAGGAACTATTAACTAATGGGAATGGGCTCCTGACCCCCAATTTGGGGCTGTTTCTGTTAAACTGCAGAGAAAACAAGTTTTTCCTCAAAACAGAAATAAAAATAGGACAAAACCCTGATTCATTGATTCACAAATTGTTTTTCCTCTCTCTGGATGCAAAATGGTCCTTAGCCACATAACATACGTATTTGAGGGGAGGGGGGCAGGAGGGACAGTAACGATTGCAAAATAAAAACACACAATAAGTGGGAGTGGTTCTGATTAAACATTTTAACAGTTGTTTGATGAAAATAAATATGCAAAACACAGACTAACAGTAATAAAACAGAAAGAGACCTTGACAGTCATCTGTTCATTTTCCATTTCACAGATAAGGAAAATACAGTGATACAGCAAGCACGGGGTCTCCCTTGAGGTCACTCTGGAAACTGCTAACCGGTAGCAGAGCCAGGACCAACCACAAGGGGTCGGGCTCTCTTCCACTCAATGCCCTGATTGTGTTTCCAAATTATAGGACTAAACACAGTCCAGATATTTACAAGGAACCATCACAGTGCTAAAGAAGTTACAAAAGTAGATCTTACCAACATCAAGAGTGTAAAAATTATTCATATTTTACATATCATTTAAAGCAGCAGGATATGTTGCTTCCTATAAAAAAATAATCAACATAATATATTTTAAGCTCTCATTGCTAAGGTTGAGGATAATTTCTAAAATATAACTTTTTATTCCCTTTAGATACACTTTTTTTTTTATTTTGTTATTATAATAGACTTAAGTACATTCAAAAACAGGATAGTTTCTCAAAAATGTCACAACCTTTAACTTACATGAATAAAACAAACAAACAAACAAACAAACAAACAAAAAACAGTATTTCATCACCTTGGATAACTACAAGCCTTTACACCCAATTAACTACATTATCCATCCCCATCTTCACCCACTGCCTATGTTCAGAAGGTTAGAAAGCTATCTTGAAAGTAGGCAATTTTCTTTTTCCCTCTGAAATGTAAATACGAGGCAACAAAATATCTGAGGTTTAACTGACCAACAAATCTAAAAATGGCTCAACTTGTAAGCCATGTTACTTAAACAATATTAACTTTCATATTAAAAAAATAAATAATCTAATTAGACTTTATTGTACCTGTGAGTCCCCTAAAAGACTTCTTCACTCTCCAATTCAAATCTAATATGAAATTTTTTTTGGAGAGGCAAAATATACAAATTTTCTAGATAGTATTGAACATTATTCCACAGCAGGGAAGAAAAAAACATTTATGTAGAACAACAGTAAACCACACAGATGATAGAAAATATTGACAATAAAGTTGACTTTTTGTCTCCATTCACAAGATCACTTTTCCACTTGAATACAAGGTCTAATCTATAGCAGATGCCGGTGTTAATGGAGAGAAAATTCCACTCCTCACGTTCTGATCAATCTGAGGAAGGTTTTCTCCAGAGGTGAAGAGCTGCCTGAATTCTGAAGTGTAGTCTAGACTCCATGGAGTAATCTTTGTAGTTGTTTCTAAAGACAATAACAATAAAATTGTAATATCAAAATTCCTTTGTATACCAGAGCACCATCACCATCCTCCCCTTCCTCTCATCTTCATTCCTCATTTGCTTTCAAGCCTGAAGATGCATAACAGTGGGTCTTATTAAAATGTAGATTCTGGGGCCGGCCAAGTGGCTTGGTTAAGAGTTGGCTTGGGACACCAGCTCTGAGCAGCAGGGCCCCGGTTCGGAGACCACATGAGGGCCAGTGACGCTGCGCCCTCTACAGCTAAGATGGTGAACAACAGCTCGACCTGGAGCTGGGCTGACGTGATAATATATAATAAACACTGGGAACAACAGTATTTACAGTCAATAAATTTCCATCAGCTACATTGGGTGATACATACATGTCAGTTGAAATATGAGTCATTATCACGCTCAACAAGTTAACTTTAAAGGTGGCTTGCTCTTATATCTTCCATGAGGAGGAGAAAGAGGAGAAAGAAAAACAGGAGAAGAAGGAAGAAGACAAGGAGGAGGAGGTTTTCTTGTCTCCACCATGTCCCTGAAGCTTCTGCCCCATTATTATGTTTTATTCACAGCAAAACATCCTGAAAGAGTTGCCTAAAGTAGCTGACTCTACTTTCTCACCTCACTTGTCAAAGTCACCAATGATCTTCATGCTGCCAAGTTCACTTCCTAGTCTCACGTTGCTCGACCTGTCAGCAGCTATCTTTACAACTAACAACTCTCTTCTTTTTGAAACACTGTGTTCACTTGGCTTTCCTGGAACCCTTCCTAACTCACTGGCTACCTCTTCTTAATCTTGTTGTTCACTCTCTACAATGATGGCATACCCTAAGGCTCTGCGCTGGGCCTCTTTCTCTAGCTATATAAGTTTCCCAAAATGACCTCATCAATTATCATGGCTTTAACTATCCCTGTCTCTGTGCTGGTGACTTTGAAATCTCTACATTAACCCTTACTTTTCCACTGAACTCCATGCTTCTATTAGAGTTAGATTGCCAACTCGCTGTCTCCATGGGGATACGTAAGAGGCATCTCAAAATATCATACCCCAAACAGAAGTATGTTTTTTTCTCTCCCCATCATTACCGACCTCGTGGCTTAACCCCCTAGTACAGAGGTTACCTAGCTGTGACTTCAGCCAGGAATGTTCCCCACGTAGTCTTCTGCTGACTGATCTCAGGACTGGCTTTAATTATGCAAATCTCAACTACAATATCACCTCCTCAAGGAACCCTTCCAGAATTAACGCAATCGAAAGTAACACCCTGGTACCCTGTATCATATTGTCAATCTCAGCAAAGCACCTGCCACTGCTTTTTTTCTTACTTATTTGTTGACTTAACATCTCCCTCCAACTAAGAGAACAGAAACGTTGCCTGTTTATGTGCAGTTGTCTGTCTAGAGCCTTAACTAGTGCCTGGCAGAGGTGCTCAGTGAATACTTGCTAAATTTGAGTAAATGAACAAACCAATGGACCACTAGGCTACTTATGGCCTGGAGCTAAAATGGCATTCTTTGTCCACTGCAAGAGTTCTTCAAGGCAAACGGACCACAGGGTTTTTGCCTCCACTGAGTGAGCCATGATCAAAAGTCTGAGAGTCATTGTCTAGCAGAAATGACAAAGTGCTTTGAACTTGCCACAGTTGTCAGAAAGAAGAGAGTCAGGGGAGGATTCAAAGGGCTTCTTCAAACCAGTGGGTCTTCGAGGAAATAGGCAATATGGCTGAATACACCAAGAGTCAGCAAAATTAGGATCAACATCCAGACACATCCATTTATTTACATATTGTCTTCTATGGCTGCTTTCGATACAATCGAGTAGTATCAAAAGCCAAAAATACTTACTATCTGGCCCTGTATAGAAAAAGTTCGCCAACTCACTCGATAGAGAAGAGATTAGGTTAGATATCTGTCATACAAAAGCCCATAATCGCAACATCTGTAAATAGTCACAGGGCCAGACATTCAGAAGGTTGAAAACAGCACAATTACAGCAAAAGCCACGAACATAAACTAAGCATAAGTTAGCAAAGTTAACATTATTACTAACTTTCCTTAATGTTTTAACTTTCAAGTGTATGTATAGTATTACTGCTGTTGTTATAACGGTATTGACATTCCTGACTCCGTAGCAATCAAGGAAAAGCTGCCATTGTCACTTACCTCGCAGTTTCAAGAGCCTTTACAGCCTTGTCAATCTCCCCTTGGCTTTTGTACAAAAATGCCAACTCAAACAGAGTAAATGGCACCAGGTAGTGGTCAAACTTCAGTAGCTTTTCACTAAAAGAGTGAATGAAAAGCAATTAAGTCTTCACAGAACAAGAAACATATCACTCTGCTTCAACATACATATTTTGCCCATTCCTCAGAAAACAGTGTAGCACTAAGCTTATTATCAGAGAAAAGCTGTCCTTATACAGTCAAAGCATCTAACTATGGCAATAAATAGTACGCTGCTAATATGATTACCTCCTATCTTACTCCTTAATCTCAGTCCAGCGCTGAGGACTGTTCATTGCCCCTTAGGTAGACGAGTACATGCAGATCTTCAAAGACTAACTTTGAAAAGAAGATCATCCTTCTGAGCATGAACGTGGTCAGCAAATGACTCCACTTAGAAATAAGAATGCCATATTATTTTTTAATAAGGTTCACTTGGCTTTGTATTATTATGTCTTAATGCTAAAAAATGTCAATAAAGAAGTGGTCAATACTTCTGTTTTCAGCAACATTATAAACTCTCTGATGACAAAACATCTAGAGGCACTGAAAAGAATAAGAATAACACACTTTCAAATGCATAGCTCGGCTCACAAGAGCATAAGAAAAATTCTCTAACTGAAAACAGAACAGAACCAGAACTCTGAGTGTGTGGACGATGCCAACGCAGTCCTGGGGTCTGCCTCAGTCTGAACTGACCAGGGCTTTGGGTCTCAATGTCCATGAAAGAGACGAGGTCTTCGGCCCACACAGGACAGGAAGCCAGGCCTGTGACCTCTGTGTAAGCTGGGGCCCTTGAAAAGCTACTCCATCAGAGAAAGGGCAGATTAGAAAAAATCCAGTCACAGGCAGCCTGTGCTCTAGGTGTGAAGTAAAAGCACCTTTCTTGGGAAATTAATAACTAATAGCTTGCCCTCACATTCATCTGCAATTCAAACTTACATTGCCCACAGGATCCAAAAACCTCAAAGCAATGAAATGAACATAAATGTGGGCCTGGGCTGCAAACGTCTTTGGGGCACGTGAGAGAAAGAAGAACAAAGTGACCTTAGAGAGACTCTTCCTCAATCCCAGCTTCACAGGAGTCTCAAGATCAAATGCCAATGAAGAAAAACTCACAATCCAAAATCATAAAACACATGCGCAAACAATTCACTATTGTTAAAACACAACAAATAGCACACATGGGTAATCCTTTTAATCATCCTGTTGATCCTTATTAAACCACCAGTAAAACAGAACTCCATGGCTCCTTCTTTAACATGCTTACTAAGAACAGTATACTACTTATTTGAAAAATAGACATGGTCTCATTCTTATAAAAACGCCAGCCTTCCTAAATATTCATAAAGTAGTGTCAGGAAGAAGAGGATGCGTGGCCACGGATGGAAAGGCGCATGACCTGGAACCGAGGACGTCAACTGGCAGTCTGTGGCTGTGATCTACTCGGCTCACAGTGTTTTCAAAAAATGTCAGCCAATATTTAAAAATCAGAAGGTTTTACATAAAACCCATATGCCAGGCTTTTCGTGAAAAAATTGCAGGGATGATTGCTAGGGGGCCTACACTGTACAGAATAGTAATTAATGAGGGCTAAAGAGTGGCTGCATTGTCTAGAGGGAACACACAAGCTCCTGGGTCTGCAGTGCCCACCAATCCCTACTCCTGCCATCACTCAGGAAGGCTGGTTGTCTGGCAGCTGCAGGTATTTGCATGTATGACTCCAGGTATAGAGAAGAAAACCAGGCATCAGAACCTTGACTCAACTCTCTGCTTAGGAAAGGAGCAGGACATCATCATCATCAATGCTATTAGGAAAAAACAAACAAACTCATGCATACACAGAAGCAATGCCCTTTCCAAAGGAGAAGCAGCTATAGTGTTCAGCACGTGTCTTTCTTCCCCGCCAACTGACTATCTCAATGATGGCAAGTCTCTTGACTCAACTCTGGCTCCCTGGGCTCCAGCACAGTCTCTGGCCCATAGCGTGTGCTCAAATATCTGTGGAATAAATAAATGGAGAAGCAAAGGCAGGAATCAAAAAAGTATCAGAGGTCAGTACATCGCTGCCAGAGTTTAGACAGACACCTGTTAGCCCTAAGTTTAGTTTTTATAGGTCACCTGTAAACACCGAGTGGAAATGCATAAAGCGACGTACACTTACACTATACTGATTTTTTTTGTTCTCAATGAATGGAGAAAACATTACTGGATTCTCTTTCTGGTACCACCAAGAAAAAGGTTTGCAGCAAGAGAGAAAAGCAATCCTTTTCAACAGTTCTTCCCCAGGAGCCACGATTCGCACTCAGGCTGGGTTCCTTGTGTGTGTTTACCTTTGGATGACGTGGCTAAAACACAGCTCCGCTTGCAAGGGCCGCTGTAAGTTTTTCAGGCAGCAGCCTTTCAGCAGCTTCACTAAGCACTCGTCATCTACCGAGTAGTCGCTGAAATCTTAAAGCAAAACAAACAAAAATCACACACCAAAAGAAAAATACTTTTAAAACTAAGAAAAACACTTTTAGCGCTTGCTATGCCTCACGGAACAAAGCACAGCGAAAAAAATTTTTAATTAAAAGAACACTGAATTTACTACATTAGTTTAGTAAACCATTTTATTAAGGAGTTCACTTCATCTACTTCACATTTTTTTTCACGTGCTCATATGTGACCTTATGAGCTGAATTATGTCACCTTAGAGACAACAGCAGAAAATCTGAACTCTAAAGAAAGAGCTTCATTAATTCTGTAAAAGGTAAAGCCATGAGGAACAAGAAAGCTACCTCCTCCTGTGGTTCTGGCTTCTAACTGTGTTGGCTTCGTGCAGATGAGGATAACGCTTCCATATGGAGAAGCAGATGGCTTTACCCATTAAAAATTCAGGACGCAGAATTCCTCTCCAGATCACTATGTTCATAATGTATCAATCCTCTAAGCTATGTCTTTTTGAAGGGAGATTATGTCATAAAATTAGATAAAATGGTGCTCAAGTACATACCAGTTACCTAAAATCCTCACCCACTTCTAACAGCTTGAGGCTAATGTAAAGGTTTTTCTTTCACCATTTTTTTTCCTTTGGAAAATGACTCTTTGCCGTCTACGGCCCTAGGCTGTAGAATATGAAACAGAAGGAACCATATTATGTGTGATATCGATCTGACAAAGGTAACCATTTCACATCTACCACGTTTGAAATGGGGTTTTTTTGCAAGTTCGGTGCAACTAAGAAGTCATTCCAAGCAGACTGATAATTTATACATTTCAGGTTGTGACAACATGGTGGTGGTGGGTGGGGGCAGTAAACCAAACTAATGAGGCCCTCGGAGTCCCTCATATTAGAATGCTCCTGCTTTCAGAACAAATCTCAGAAATCACCATTAACACATGCTGGTTTTTAGTTAATGTCTATGGGAGGTTAACGATGCCACTTAACCAACTAGAAGAAAGTCACTTTACTTCTAGGTGCTGAAAACAGCTGACATTCACCTCTCGCTTCCAAGATCTCAAGTCATTCATCAAGAAAAACACAGATATCAATACCACATTACCTTTCCTATTACGTAATGACCATTTTGTACCATATATATAAAAGGGGTGCCAAAGAAAATGTACACATTTTAAGAGATGTTATCTATGTATTACTTTTCGAAGTTGAATTACGGTAGCAATGTGTAGTAATAGCATTTGCTCAAAAGATGGCATTAATCAAATGAGTGCTAGCGTCATTCATTATATTACAATTTTAAAAGTTTTTTCCTTTCTTAAAATGTGTATACATTTTTTTGGCACACACACACACACATTCATGCTCTAATCATGGATGCTGATTGAAATATAAGAGGTCTTGCAATTAGGTTTGCAAACTTGTTGCAACAATGTTACTAACCTTTTTTTCATATCAGAAGGATTATTCATTAATGAATTTGTACCACCTAGACCATTAATCAAGTTTACTATTTGGAAGTGCTGAAAAGGCTGCGTGAAAAAGTTAGATGACCTGAACTTTTCGCCAACAATTCATGGTTCCTGCATCATGACAATGCACCAGCTCACATGGCACTGTCTGTGAGGGAGTTTTTAGCCAGTAAACAAATAACTCTATTGGAACACCCTCTCTACTCACCTGATCTGGCCCCCAATGACTTCTTTCTTTACCTGAAGATAAAGGACATACTGAAAGGAAGACATTTTGATGACATTCAAGACATCAAAGGTAATACGAGGACAGCTCTGATGGCCATGCCAGAAAGAGTTCCAAAATTGCTTTGAAGGGTGGACTAGGTGCTGGCGTCGGTGCATAGCTTCCCAAAGGGAGTACTTCAAAGGTGACCATAGTAATACTCAGCAATGAGGTATATAGCACCTTTTCTAGGATGAGTTCGCAAACTTAATTGTCAGAACTCGTACATTCAAGAAGCAATATCTTTCCAGGCCTAGAACCAAACTCTTAGGGTCCATGCTAGATGCTAACTTTTAGTATCATTTTTGTGCATTTTACTGAGTTCTGTGTAGTATTTTCTAACTGTTCGTGTTGCCACAAAATTCTGGTGCTCAGTGAACGACTATTTTGCTACATAAAAGACATAACAGCATGGGAAGCTAAAGTACCAGCAAAGCCACAACACATTTAGCTTTTATTTAGATCATGGGTTAGGGATATGGAAAATGGGTTCAAAAACACAACAGTCATCCAAAAACCTAAGAAAGCAAAACTATTATTTTTTCAGACCACAGAGCACTATTTGTCAGGTGACTATTTTCCCTTAAAATATAAATGTTTATGATTCTCCGGCTTATGTGTGAGTTCATAGATGAACATGTCAACAGTTTCCATTGCACATTCCAAGAAAACTATATGATAATGCTGCCAAAGCACATTTTTATCACAAAAGATCTGCACTTAATAATAAAACAAAGGGTAGGCTGAGGGGGGAATAAAGCTTAAGGCCCAAACTACAAAAATATCTACATTAAACTTTTTAGAAGCAAGTTGAAATGTACCAAAGGAAAAATCCGAAAATAGATTTAGAAAGTGAAAAGCCATAAAGTAAATAACTTTGCCTTTTATGGAACTCTGATTGTGTTTGCTATACTATTTCACCAAGTTAATTAACCACAATGAATAGTCAATGAAGAGCTATTGTACTAACTCCTGGCTACATGTTGAATGTATTTAGATTTCAGATGAAACACTAATGGAATTAATAGCAAACACTGATTTCAGGCATGTTACTCCAAGTATTTTTCTCTCTTTAAACAGTATTCCTCCCTTTGTACCGATGACCAGCCTTTCAGACTTATGGCATTGTCAGAGTAGAACGCCAATTGTACCCTCTACCATCTTTTACGTTAGAGAGATATTTGCCAAAGGTAGAAGCAAAAACACATTCAATTCCTAATAATGAGGTGGGGAGGGGCGGGGTGGAGATGAAGTCACCTCAGGTTTACAATTTTACTCTATTTTCCAATTTTGGATTTTTTCCCTCTGACTCTGAAGAAGAATAGGAACTCAACTACTCAAAAGTCATAAAAGTTTGCGGGGGGAGGCTCGTGTCAGGTAACCTTTTTGCATAAAACAATGAACCTGGAAGAGATCATCATAAATTTCATGTAACATCTGGCAAACGCCATCTTCAGAAAAGAATGCTTTTTTTTTTTTAAACCCAGGAGGAAGACATAGAAAGACAGAATTTTATGAAATATGATGTGTTTGTCTGAGCTCCCCGCAGTCCTGCTTAAGTATCTCTTAAGCGTATCACCACAATATGTCTTTAAAAGAGGAATAAATGGATAGACATATTGTCTTGGTTTTCTACACCTCTATTGCATTTTACATGCATCGTTTGATACATATATTATTCCTTTCATTTTTCCCACACCAATGAAGGGGCAAAATAAACTTAGGAGTAGGGATGAAGAGCCTCCTTAAAAAGAGAAAACCCAGTGATCCTTCAGGACTTCTTAACATACAAATGCCCTGCTCTCGAGTAGTACATATTAGTCTACACTAAAAGGATGGACATTCAAACATCAGAATTCATTCTACTGAACCCAAACTTATCTTTGTAGCAAAACTGAAGAAGCAAGCTGATCTTCTTTTCTGGGAGAAAAAAAATACCCTCCAAATGTTTTCACTTAATAAAAAGAGGTTTTCCTTTACCTCCCAGTTTTTACATATCCACTTATTTAAAAAATATTCACTTTTCCATTTAGTTTGTGGATTGTGGGATTTAATCATAGATAATTCATTTAATAGCAGGAACAAATGTTTGCTCTGCCTATCATAATTCTATATCTAGCAAGGAAGGAGTGTTCAAATGAACAAATTAATACAAAGTGGCCAAATTAGTCGAACAAAAATGAATACTAATAAAATTGTTCAACTAGATTATACAGAAGTACATTTTGTGATATCTCATTTTTAAGGTGAACTTTCATACAGTTTCATTTCATTTAAATTCAAACAGATGTGACTGTTGATTTTTCACTCAAAAATAAATTGAAATATTTTTTTCTTTTTGAAATTATTTCACATTAAAAATAGTAACGATCACCTCATACCCATTAGGATAACTACTACCAAAACCAAAACAAAACCAAAAAAAAAGAAAATAATAAGTGTTGACAAGGATATAGAGAAATTGGAAACCTTGTACGCTGCTGGTGGGAATGTCAAATGGTGCAGTGTCTATAGAAAACATTATGGTCATTCCTCAACGAATTAAAAATAGAAATGGCATATGACCAAGTAATTCCACTTCTGGGCATATATCTAAAAGAACTGAAAGCAGGGTCTCAAAAAATTATTCGCACACCCATGTTCATAGAAGTATTGTTCACAATAGCCAAAGGTGGAAGGAATCCAAATGTGCATCGACGGATGAACAAAATGTGGTATATAACGTAATGGAATATTACGCAGCCTTAAAAAGGAAGGAGATTCCGACATGCGACAACATGGATGTAGGACACTATGCTAAGTGAAATAATCCAGTCACAAAGAGACAAATATTATATGGCTCCACTTACATGAAGTTTCTACAACAGTCAAAATCATAGTAACAAAGTAGAATGGTGATTGCCATGGGCCGGGGGGAAGGGGAAATGGGGAATTATTGTTTAACGGGTATGAAAATGTTCTGGAGGCGGGTTGCACAACCATGTGAATATAACACTACTGAACTGTATTGTTAAAAATAGTTAACATGGTAAATTTTATGTACATTTTAAGACCCAAAGGGTGAAAACTTAAAAAGACACAATTGCAAAACAATAATAAGGAAGCTTATCACAACTCTACGCTAATAGAAATAATTGCTATTAGTAGAGCAGAATGTTCCACTCACCTGACCTCCCTGTGTCCACCAGTTTGTATTTGCAAGATGGCAAATGGGGGGAGGCTCTGTGGCCTCAGAACAGCACTGCTCTTTGCTCTACCGGATTCTTTAACTATC